ACTTTAGTTTTGATGCAAAAACGCATGATCGCATCGGCTCGCCTGGTGCGTTCCAGCCTTTGTTGCCATTGCGTAGTTGCAAAAAACGCATAAAAAAGACAGCACGATCTGGCTCGACTGAGCTCGGCTGCGAACATGCTCTGAAATCCTATTGACCCGAAGTGAGGCCAGGAATTTGTTATGGTCAAGAACTGAAGAAGGAGGAAAGGAGAACCAGAAATTTGTAACTCAGCAGCACATACAACTGCTCAAGAAACAGAGAGCGAGAAGGAGAAGAAAAAGGAGAAACGGTGCAGACAAGAAAGCTGTACTCTCAACAACTGCTTAAGCAAGCCAAAGATAATTAAGTTCTGATCTTCCATGAACCTTTGAGGGAGAATAATAAATCTGTGATAAACATGGATTCCGTCCGCATCCTGATTCAACCTCAATTGAAGACTCTACATGCTTCCATCGCTCTTACAGTTTATATGAAACATTTTACAGAAAAGATTCATATGCAACATACGCTCATCGATATCCCGGAATATATTTTCAGAAAGTTTGACGGACGGTAGTGATATTAATTGCGAGAACGCTGGCTCCAGTTTGATAGCATCTTTGACTTTTCTGTTGTCTTTTTCCGTCGGTTCGTCATCTTCCTGGTCGAGCATCTGATCGGGGCCATGTTTTGAAGCCAGTTTTTTGCCGCGCAGCAGATATTTGTTCTTCAAAGCATTTGGTGATGGTAGCGGTTTCGTGGCTCCATCATCAGGACGGATGTATATTTTGTCGCCCAAAACCTGAAATTTTCACGATGTATTCATTTTTTAGAGAGCCTCGACAAAAACAAGCCATATTTCACAAAGCAGTTGAGTGAGTTTCAATGACAGAAAAGCCTGTACTAACCTCATCGAAAATACGTGCCATTGCCTTTTGCTGCGGCAGTCCAACGTGATTCTCAATAGTCAATATTACCGGATACGGGTTCGTCTTAAATGCGTACTCGTCGATTGCTTTTAACGTATCTTTCAATGTAATCGCTTTGATCAGCGTTCGCTTGTGCGTGATGCAAGGCTCACCTTCCTCACCATCAAAAACGTCCACTGCAAAAAACACAGACTGACAATATCCACGGGCTGGTCTCAAAAAATTCAGCGCTTAAGACCGTATTTCAAAAAGACAAAACACTTTCCGCGTTCCCTCTTTGTGACAGGATTTGAAAATGGCCAGAGCGATAGCAGTCCGCCAACAGCAACTACTTTTGGGCAACACTACCAAAGTTCCCCTCTTCAAAGAGCTGCAAGGAAAGTAAGCTGAAAACGATTTGACTCCGAACACATATCAATAAGTATGACTTCTAAAATGCATCGGTACCAATTTGCTACCAGTACAAACCAGTAAATCTTAAAAAATTAATTTCCTGAGTAGCGAATTTTAGCCTATGACTCGAATTTAAGGACAAACATCCATTAGCAACACGACAGATTCGTCAAAGAAAAAAAAAGAAAAAAAAACGTTTTGGATGCGTTTCGTCAGAACAAGA